TGAGGGTGGGGGGAGGGAGCAGCAGCTGATGGAGCAGCAAGGCTGGCAGGAGTTGGGTGGCCCACATGGTGCTGGCGGCCCCCCCGGCGGCTGGCGGGGAGGAGAAGAGGAGATGGCTCCTCGGAAGGACCCTGTGCACAGCCGGTCACTAGAGGAGGCAGAGTGAGCCGAGCTGCTTTTTATTGCGATGATCTAAGTTTGTTGTGTGATTAACTGGAAAGATCTGGGTCCCAACTCCCTCTTACGGTAAGAAACTGTTTAACAACATCCCCTCTCTGCCTCCTCTCCTCCTCCCCTCCCCAGGAGCTGCCTCCCCTCCCGCCCCGCACGGAGCCTCCCCCACTGCTCCTCCTGGCCCCACAGCCCCCTTTGCCCTCCCACCTGCAGCCACAACAAACATTTCCCTCCCTGCAGACATTTTCCTTCACAACCTCCCCCCTTCTCCACCTGCCCCTCCCCCCCATCCCCAGGCAGCACCCTCCTCCGTAGCCCCCACCCCATGGCCAGGGACAAAGCAAGGCCATTTTCCCAGTAGGAAACATCTTTCCTCCAACCTGCCCGTGGCTGCCCCTGGCCACCAGCCTGGCCTTTCTATCACCCTCTTTGGCCAGCTGACAAATGCCACTTCCCCAAAATTGTGGCAACTCTGGGGAATCTAAAGGTCGAGTATCAGCTGGCTGGCGTCGCTCCATGGAGACAAGCCTCAGACCGAAGCGAGGCCTGACCTTCCTTCTGTCGCAGGCAAAGTGCTTGTGATTCTTCTGTTGCACTTCATTTTAACCTCATGGAAGCAATGGCACGGGGTTTTGTTTAAAGTCATGAGACCGGCCTTCGTGACACGCGAGTATTCAAAAATAAACATTTCAGGAAAAGTTCTCCCTTAACTTAAACTGTTCCTTTCTCCCATGCACCCACCTACCGTCTATAGCACGAGTATGTGACAACACAGGAAACCGTTTCCCTCCATTTTCCACAAATAAAACGGAGACCTGCAAGTGGCCCCGTGCCATGTGAGTCAGAAAACAGGTCTCCTTCTCCAGCCCCGACTCCTTTGCCCAGACTTACTATCCATGCTGCTGATAAACACCTCTGAGGGAAACAACTTTTCTTAAAAACAGGTTGTTTTCCAAGCCATAAATGTTCGTTGTTAACTTTTATTCAGTTTTTCCTATATTCCCAAAACAATTTTTGTTTTTTTTTTTTTTCTTTTCACCCAATTTATGCCCAGTGGTAAACCAAAAAAATTTCCCCTTGGGAATTACTGCCTTGGTAAGTGAAAGAAAGGGGACATAAAGGAGTCAAGAGCGAGTCTTTGAAGAAAATATTTTGAACATTTGGCATTACAGGAAACACATTATGTGAGAAAAAAAATACTTTCTGAAATCTGCAGAATGAAAATTATTTCTAGGATTTTTTTTTTTTTTTTTTTTGCTGTCCTTGTTTTTCTCCCAGGAATAAAAGTTAATTTACAGGAGTACCTTAGAGATGCACAACCTGAGAACAGAGAAAATGTATCCCACTGGCCAATGACCTTGTGTGAAATCCTTGTCCGCTGCAACTGATATAACATGGATATCCCACTTAGTTTGTTTTCTGTTTTTCTCTCTGAGTTTAAAGATAGACATAAATATAAACAATAAGCAACAAAAATAATCATAGCACCATGCTGAGCTCAAAATAGCCACATTCTGTTACCCAGATGTATTTGACTTGCTGTCCATGCATGTGATGAATGACCTTTTTTTGTATAAAGCACAAAATCATGCACCATTAAAGTCAAACGGATTTTTTTGCCACTGACTTCCCTGAGGGGATTATTTGGCCTGTAATCAGATTTCTCCTGAATTTTAGGAAGATTTCTGCAGCACCTCTTGAGGACTAGGATGCTTCCTAATGGGGACAATATTTTGCTATGTGGATTCTATTATTAATGCATAGTCCTGTGTATTATTGATGATGTATCTGTAGTTCTGCTTGAGACCTCAAGTCATGGACGTAAGCTTCTTTGGCTGCATATATTATGCTGGGCAGGTGCAATGCCACAGTCCTGGTTCTCCATTTGTCCAGTTTTAGGAACCTGCTGGAGCACACCTCTGCCTTTTACATAAGTTTTATATATTTCCCCTCAGTGGAAACTGGGGCAGGCGGAGTGAGAGGCCAGGGACAGAAGGGAGATTATAAAGGGAAAGATCCTATAGATGCTATATTCAGATGCTCTATTTGTAGGCAGTCAAGACAGAGGTTTGCATCTGGATCTGGAAAATGAAAATGTTCTTTGGTCCCGCATCATATACTGCGAAATGTAGTATGATCCTTTTTCTGTGTCTTCTTGCCCCATGTATTTTACAACTGAAGCATAATATTTTAGTGCAGTTCGATCAAATTTTACCTTGAAATTCGATGTGAAGGAAGGCTGCAAAAATTGCATTTCATGCTTAAGTTTTCAAAAAGAATTCCATGTTACACATAGAGAAACTAAAGATCTAAATATGATAATCAAAAGTTGTAGGTTTTATGCAAGAATATTCTATTATATTTTCTGACCTTTTGAGGGCATGTTTTCTGACCTATAAATCTCTCTTTTTCTGTTTTGGGGGCTTAGCTGACAGTGGGGATTTTTGGTTTTCTTTTTTCTTATTCTTCTATTTTTTTTGGCAGCTTTGCAAACTTGCCCTGATAACCTGACTTTCAAATCTGTGTAGGTCTGTATTAGGAAAGTAGCATAACATTTCCGTAGAAGATATTTAAGAGAAAAAAAATACTGCACACTTTACCAAAGAAGTATTGGCTCTGGACTGCCTACATGAGTAAAAAAGTTTAAAAACCTTTATTTTGGTTGGAAAAGTAAGCAGACATGACCAATACATAGAAACTGCTATTTTTATATTCCCTTTTCTGACCATAGCCACAGTTGGATCTGTTTTTCAGATGTAACTTGCTATTCAGAAATGCTAGATATTCAGAGTTTTGGCCGGAATCTTCACACACATACAGAGTAATACCAAGTCACAATTAGTTTTAAAAGAAAGCTTTTCTAAATGAACCAGCATTTGTCATATGAATCACCTCTTGTGTTCAAAATAAACCTTTTTACTTCTTGATTTATCTGGTATAAGTATCACTCCATTAAAGTCCCACTGGGTAATAAACCAAATAAAATAAGCAAGTGCATGTAGTAATTATTTTTCAACACCGAGTTGTTTGATAAAAAAGTATTAGGCTGCCTGAGTAGTTTAAATAAAGCAATTGTGCTTCACGTTTCAAGCAGGATAAATTATTATTGTCTTCTTTTATAAACTGATCTAGACTAGGAAGGGAAAGACTGAGGTATGGGCTGCGAGATTTGACACTGCTGGGAACGGCAGAGTAGAAGCAGAGCCCCCGCGGGTGCCAGGTGTCCATACTCGCTAAGGCACCTCAGCCAGAGCCCCAGCTGGACACACGGCACCTTCCAGCCCCATCCCCAAACCTTCTTCATGCAGAAAAATTAAAAAGGCAAATGGGGCAGAAAGGCAGAACGGAAGAGGGGGAAGAAGGGGATAACAAGATCCGAGCACAGGGATTAATGTCTAGTTGAAAGCAGAAGCTCAGAAACTCCCTTGAGTCCACCATTTTAGATTCAGCCAAAAGGATTTTGCATGTCATCATACTAAGTACTGCAGTTCCGAATTGCTAGTCCCAGAGGGCAAATTCACCACACAGTCAAGTGTTTAGAGCGCCATGCAGAGACCGTGGCACCTCAGATGAGGTTTCTTGTTAATTAGCCACTGGGGAAACCCAAGAACGAAGAGCCACACCACCCTCTGCAATGTACACACTAACCTACAGTCCTGAGGCACTCACCTCTGCAAACATGGCATTCACAGGTTAAATTCCATCTCTATTTAATAACCTGAACTGTCTAGCTTTAAAATGCTTCTTATTCCTTCAGCCTGTGTCAGAGCTTGCAAAAAAAAAAATTAGTCAGGGGCTATTACCTGGCTTTGCAGGCACAAGGCATGGCATGATTTGGCTTGAAACTATACAGTTGCACCTTCCTCTACCCCAAAACAGACTTGTGCAAGCAGCTTCACACCTTGACTGAGCACTTTCGTGGCACAAACATGCAAAATAATGCAGGGCATATGCAAAATGCAAAACGGTCTACATCATCATTTTATGCACAGATGCGTGCTCCTGGGGAATGAAAAGCATGGTTCTGAAGGTGCTCAGGTTAAAAAGGAACATGAGCTCCAAAGTGACTTGGTTGTCCTTGGTTCATTATAATTCACATATATTCATAATATTCAAACACATATAATCCACAACTCTCCCCAAACCCAGACTCCCAGGTGCTCAGGTCTGGGTCCTAAACCCTAGCCAGGTAATCCGGCGTTCATCCCTGCAGTCAGTTATTAATATAAATCCTTTGTGATTTTCCTGTGGAAGACATATTGTAACCGGTTTTTACAAATACCTTGTATGCTTACTGAGAATAGTTAAGATGAATAACAAAACAAATTTTAAATTCTAATATGAAAGTGATTTAAGCCATTTATGGCATGGTGGCCAATGGCAGCTGATGAGAATACAGCCTTTCAAGATTAGTTTGGAAATTACAATTTCCAATATTTTGGGAAAAAATAATAAAAGAAAAATGCAAGAATCTATAAGCAGCACATTGCTGTTAGAATGAAATATCTGAGCAAATATTATCTGATCAAAATTTAAGTATTTCCACACCTAAATGTTTTATTTACAAGGACATAAATTTTGCAAAGAAATGTGCATGCAAAAATGGTTATTATCATGAAGTTTCCCAGTAATAGCTATTTGAAGGTTTTGGGAATGTGCTGCATTGTGGATATGTGCTTTTTAGGAATGCGAAAAGTCCCTCACTCAGAATTGTTCCTTGTACATACTCAGAGTTTAGGTATATTGCCTGAGGACATTAACCTTTTTGTATAAATTCGATTTTTTTCCTCTTCTATTAGTCTCCGAAGCACCAAGAAAGTCTAGAAAGGATAAAAGCCACTGGCAGTACTGTTAAATAAACTCTAATGTACTTTGCCTATATTCGTCAGGGCCTAATTGGATCTGCAAAATCTTTGCAATAGATTTTTTTTTTTTTGTGTAAGAAAAAAATGAAGCTCCCTTTGACCTTAGTCTACTAAAATCAAGTTGTGGTAGTGGCCATTGGAAAAATAAACAGAAGTTGAATACATTTGATATGAAGCAACATCCCCAAAAGCCCCTAATTTACATGCCATAGTTACTGAGTTACTTCTCTGAGGGTAGTTACTCTCTATGCTATTTAACCATTCGAATTTGCATGCATTTGTACTTCAGAAGTGTTTCATTTTTAGCAAATAAAGAAGTGTTTTTTCATGCTTATTAGAACATGCATTCTCTAGGACAAAGCAGCCAAGCCAAAGGTTTGGCCAAATTCATCTGTGGATATTGCCCGGTCTTCAGATCTCCCTTTTTCCAGTCGTTGTTCTTTTTTTAATTCAGAAAACCTTCCTTTGCATATTATGTAAATTAAAAAGCTCAACCATGATTAAGGAAATCTACATTTGTATATATGTTTAAGCACATTTCTAGTCTTTCTTATTGTTGACAATTTTGAAAATATCAGCCCAAAATATTCAACCACTAAGGAAATCTTCATATCACATTGATTTTAAAATCACCTGCTTTTTAAAGCAGTTTA